TCTCTGAAAATAAAAACACGACAGTTTTTTTGACTGAAATGCCAAATTTGCGAACTTCGTTTTTTTAAGGAACAATCAGTACTGAAATTAAAAACGTGAAGGAACAGATAATATAAATATGAAAGTCTGCCTTTGTCTCCCGTACTAATACAAGGTTTATGTTATCAATATTCAAATTCTCTGAAAATAAAAACACGACAGTTTTTTTGACTGAAATGCCAAATTTGCGAACTTCGTTTTTTTAAGGAACAATCAGTACTGAAATTAAAAACGTGAAGGAACAGATAATATAAATATGAAAGTCTGCCTTTGTCTCCCGTACTAATACAAGGTTTATGTTATCAATATTCAAATTCTCTGAAAATAAAAACACGACAGTTTTTTTGACTGAAATGCCAAATTTGCGAACTTCGTTTTTTTAAGGAACAATCAGTACTGAAATTAAAAACGTGAAGGAACAGATAATATAAATATGAAAGTCTGCCTTTGTCTCCCGTACTAATACAAGGTTTATGTTATCAATATTCAAATTCTCTGAAAATAAAAACACGACAGTTTTTTTGACTGAAATGCCAAATTTGCGAACTTCGTTTTTTTAAGGAACAATCAGTACTGAAATTAAAAACGTGAAGGAACAGATAATATAAATATGAAAGTCTGCCTTTGTCTCCCGTACTAATACAAGGTTTATGTTATCAATATTCAAATTCTCTGAAAATAAAAACACGACAGTTTTTTTGACTGAAATGCCAAATTTGCGAACTTCGTTTTTTTAAGGAACAATCAGTACTGAAATTAAAAACGTGAAGGAACAGATAATATAAATATGAAAGTCTGCCTTTGTCTCCCGTACTAATACAAGGTTTATGTTATCAATATTCAAATTCTCTGAAAATAAAAACACGACAGTTTTTTTGACTGAAATGCCAAATTTGCGAACTTCGTTTTTTTAAGGAACAATCAGTACTGAAATTAAAAACGTGAAGGAACAGATAATATAAATATGAAAGTCTGCCTTTGTCTCCCGTACTAATACAAGGTTTATGTTATCAATATTCAAATTCTCTGAAAATAAAAACACGACAGTTTTTTTGACTGAAATGCCAAATTTGCGAACTTCGTTTTTTTAAGGAACAATCAGTACTGAAATTAAAAACGTGAAGGAACAGATAATATAAATATGAAAGTCTGCCTTTGTCTCCCGTACTAATACAAGGTTTATGTTATCAATATTCAAATTCTCTGAAAATAAAAACACGACAGTTTTTTTGACTGAAATGCCAAATTTGCGAACTTCGTTTTTTTAAGGAACAATCAGTACTGAAATTAAAAACGTGAAGGAACAGATAATATAAATATGAAAGTCTGCCTTTGTCTCCCGTACTAATACAAGGTTTATGTTATCAATATTCAAATTCTCTGAAAATAAAAACACGACAGTTTTTTTGACTGAAATGCCAAATTTGCGAACTTCGTTTTTTTAAGGAACAATCAGTACTGAAATTAAAAACGTGAAGGAACAGATAATATAAATATGAAAGTCTGCCTTTGTCTCCCGTACTAATACAAGGTTTATGTTATCAATATTCAAATTCTCTGAAAATAAAAACACGACAGTTTTTTTGACTGAAATGCCAAATTTGCGAACTTCGTTTTTTTAAGGAACAATCAGTACTGAAATTAAAAACGTGAAGGAACAGATAATATAAATATGAAAGTCTGCCTTTGTCTCCCGTACTAATACAAGGTTTATGTTATCAATATTCAAATTCTCTGAAAATAAAAACACGACAGTTTTTTTGACTGAAATGCCAAATTTGCGAACTTCGTTTTTTTAAGGAACAATCAGTACTGAAATTAAAAACGTGAAGGAACAGATAATATAAATATGAAAGTCTGCCTTTGTCTCCCGTACTAATACAAGGTTTATGTTATCAATATTCAAATTCTCTGAAAATAAAAACACGACAGTTTTTTTGACTGAAATGCCAAATTTGCGAACTTCGTTTTTTTAAGGAACAATCAGTACTGAAATTAAAAACGTGAAGGAACAGATAATATAAATATGAAAGTCTGCCTTTGTCTCCCGTACTAATACAAGGTTTATGTTATCAATATTCAAATTCTCTGAAAATAAAAACACGACAGTTTTTTTGACTGAAATGCCAAATTTGCGAACTTCGTTTTTTTAAGGAACAATCAGTACTGAAATTAAAAACGTGAAGGAACAGATAATATAAATATGAAAGTCTGCCTTTGTCTCCCGTACTAATACAAGGTTTATGTTATCAATATTCAAATTCTCTGAAAATAAAAACACGACAGTTTTTTTGACTGAAATGCCAAATTTGCGAACTTCGTTTTTTAAGGAACAATCAGTACTGAAATTAAAAACGTGAAGGAACAGATAATATAAATATGAAAGTCTGCCTTTGTCTCCCGTACTAATACAAGGTTTATGTTATCAATATTCAAATTCTCTGAAAATAAAAACACGACAGTTTTTTTGACTGAAATGCCAAATTTGCGAACTTCGTTTTTTTAAGGAACAATCAGTACTGAAATTAAAAACGTGAAGGAACAGATAATATAAATATGAAAGTCTGCCTTTGTCTCCCGTACTAATACAAGGTTTATGTTATCAATATTCAAATTCTCTGAAAATAAAAACACGACAGTTTTTTTGACTGAAATGCCAAATTTGCGAACTTCGTTTTTTTAAGGAACAATCAGTACTGAAATTAAAAACGTGAAGGAACAGATAATATAAATATGAAAGTCTGCCTTTGTCTCCCGTACTAATACAAGGTTTATGTTATCAATATTCAAATTCTCTGAAAATAAAAACACGACAGTTTTTTTGACTGAAATGCCAAATTTGCGAACTTCGTTTTTTTAAGGAACAATCAGTACTGAAATTAAAAACGTGAAGGAACAGATAATATAAATATGAAAGTCTGCCTTTGTCTCCCGTACTAATACAAGGTTTATGTTATCAATATTCAAATTCTCTGAAAATAAAAACACGACAGTTTTTTTGACTGAAATGCCAAATTTGCGAACTTCGTTTTTTTAAGGAACAATCAGTACTGAAATTAAAAACGTGAAGGAACAGATAATATAAATATGAAAGTCTGCCTTTGTCTCCCGTACTAATACAAGGTTTATGTTATCAATATTCAAATTCTCTGAAAATAAAAACACGACAGTTTTTTTGACTGAAATGCCAAATTTGCGAACTTCGTTTTTTTAAGGAACAATCAGTACTGAAATTAAAAACGTGAAGGAACAGATAATATAAATATGAAAGTCTGCCTTTGTCTCCCGTACTAATACAAGGTTTATGTTATCAATATTCAAATTCTCTGAAAATAAAAACACGACAGTTTTTTTGACTGAAATGCCAAATTTGCGAACTTCGTTTTTTTAAGGAACAATCAGTACTGAAATTAAAAACGTGAAGGAACAGATAATATAAATATGAAAGTCTGCCTTTGTCTCCCGTACTAATACAAGGTTTATGTTATCAATATTCAAATTCTCTGAAAATAAAAACACGACAGTTTTTTTGACTGAAATGCCAAATTTGCGAACTTCGTTTTTTTAAGGAACAATCAGTACTGAAATTAAAAACGTGAAGGAACAGATAATATAAATATGAAAGTCTGCCTTTGTCTCCCGTACTAATACAAGGTTTATGTTATCAATATTCAAATTCTCTGAAAATAAAAACACGACAGTTTTTTTGACTGAAATGCCAAATTTGCGAACTTCGTTTTTTTAAGGAACAATCAGTACTGAAATTAAAAACGTGAAGGAACAGATAATATAAATATGAAAGTCTGCCTTTGTCTCCCGTACTAATACAAGGTTTATGTTATCAATATTCAAATTCTCTGAAAATAAAAACACGACAGTTTTTTTGACTGAAATGCCAAATTTGCGAACTTCGTTTTTTTAAGGAACAATCAGTACTGAAATTAAAAACGTGAAGGAACAGATAATATAAATATGAAAGTCTGCCTTTGTCTCCCGTACTAATACAAGGTTTATGTTATCAATATTCAAATTCTCTGAAAATAAAAACACGACAGTTTTTTTGACTGAAATGCCAAATTTGCGAACTTCGTTTTTTTAAGGAACAATCAGTACTGAAATTAAAAACGTGAAGGAACAGATAATATAAATATGAAAGTCTGCCTTTGTCTCCCGTACTAATACAAGGTTTATGTTATCAATATTCAAATTCTCTGAAAATAAAAACACGACAGTTTTTTTGACTGAAATGCCAAATTTGCGAACTTCGTTTTTTTAAGGAACAATCAGTACTGAAATTAAAAACGTGAAGGAACAGATAATATAAATATGAAAGTCTGCCTTTGTCTCCCGTACTAATACAAGGTTTATGTTATCAATATTCAAATTCTCTGAAAATAAAAACACGACAGTTTTTTTGACTGAAATGCCAAATTTGCGAACTTCGTTTTTTTAAGGAACAATCAGTACTGAAATTAAAAACGTGAAGGAACAGATAATATAAATATGAAAGTCTACCTTTGTCTCCCGTACTAATACAAGGTTTATGTTATCAATATTCAAATTCTCTGAAAATAAAAACACCACAGTTTTTTTGACTGAAATGCCAAATTTGCGAACTTCGTTTTTTTAAGGAACAATCAGTACTGGAATTAAAAACGTGAAGGAACAGATAATATAAATATGAAAGTCTACCTTTGTCTCCCGTACTAATACAAGGTTTATGTTATCAATATTCAAATTCTCTGAAAATAAAAACACCACAGTTTTTTTGACTGAAATGCCAAATTTGCGAACTTCGTTTTTTTAAGGAACATTCAGTACTGAAATAAAAATAAGTACCATGAAGAAAGTTTAAATTACACATATACGAAAATATTATTTAAATGCAAAAAATGTATATATTATATATTTATCTATTTAACTGCAAATCTAAAAATTATTCTGAATCAACAATCGTGTACCTCTATCGTTTCCGAAGAATTCAGCCGAAGATATACTGGAAGATCCTTGAAACCGGCTCAGATTCGCCTTGGTCTCATAATCGTCACCTTTGTCTCCGAAGTACTGGTCAGACGAGATCGCCTTGGCATTTCCGAATTTCTTCCGGGCCTCGTCAGAAGATGTGGACGAATCTATTAGTGTCCTTACCGGTCTCTCCGTCGATTTACCTACGGGAGCATGAAAGTGTCATAGGGGATACGCGTGTCATTCAAAATCGCTTATTTTGACCAAGAATACACTGAAAACATCGTTTTGAAGTCATCCCTAGGCACCATGAAACAATCAGATGAAAAGTATTAAGAGTCCTCCAGGCAGGCTGTTGAAAATAAACCTTAATAGATTTATAAAAGCAAGCACAGCAAGCTTTGGTTTGATTGATTACGATTATTATACATAGGTGATGTTTTCGTATTTTTTACCTCAGGTTGGTATCATAGGAAGTTATTATATGTGTTGGTATGCTTAATTTGAAAAAAATTGGATTTTTCGGTACCAATTTTTCTTACAATTTATTCCTGAATTTATTTGATTGCGTGAGAGTATTAAAATGTGTATAATACATCGCACTGATAATAATAGAAGACATGAGCATGGTTGGATAGTTTTCCTGGAAAAAATGATCGCTTCTGGTGGCACTGCGACGGATGGTTCCAAAAAGTATCTGTAACATACTAATAATCTGTGCTTAAATATATCTTACTCTTGGGTTTCTCCGGCGGATCATCGATGATAACCCAACTGTCCTTGCTATTGCTCTTCGCCTCCGCTAGGTAAGCCTCTATCTTGCTAACGCCTCCTCCTCCTCCTCCTCCTCCCGAACTGCTGCCGCTCCCGAATCCACCGAAACCGCTGGATAGCCCGCCGCTTCCGAACCCGTGGTCGTCGAAGAAACTCTCGGTGTCCGTCAGTCGGAGTTTGCCTAGCGAACTTAGCGTGCTCGGAGCAGACGGGAGATTCTCCTGTTCTATGGTTTGCATGTCGCTCAGAGCCGAATGGCTTATTCCGCTGAAACAAGTATGTTATGCTATACACGAGGTTTGTCCGGGAAATAGTACAAAAACTTCGGGGCGTCGTGGAAGGGTGGCCCGGTGGTTTCTTCTCTCTATGCAATCCCTCTACGCTCAGTTCGAGCCGGAGCGCTCTGCGAGTAAGTAGGATTGACGTCTGCTTGTTGAAAGAAACGTCGAGCTCCGAGGGAAATGTTGAACGAATTCGGGGCTGTGTTCTTAAAGACAGTTAGAATGATATCTGAGAAACTGTCAATCCCCAAAACAATCGTCCACGAAATTCTGACAGAAAAACTTGTGCACGTAAATCGTGCCGAAGCTCTTGATTCCAGAACAGAAAGTAATACCTGAATACACCGATTTAAACGTCGCACATGATTTCGGCGGACTTGACTAAAAATTTGATACTCGTTTCGAATGATTTCAAATGCTGCTGTTAATCGTCCAATTAAGTCTTGCTCTGTTCCTACTGGAGTTTCGTAAACCAAAGACTTTACAAGTCCCCACAGGAAAAAATCTAGCGACGTTAAATCGGGTAACCTAGGAGGCCAAGAAACTGATCCACCTCTGGCAATCCAACAGTGGATTTCACGTGTAAAAAAATGCATAGAAAAAAAAATGGCGACTATGGAGAAAAATAGCGTTTCCAATGGTGAATTCGTTCTTTCAAATAAAAATTCCTTGTGCCTGAAAAAATATGGGTACCATATTTTTCAATCAATCCTCATAGTTGACCCTTAAGGGCTGAGTTCCGATCGAGGGTTAATTAATCCTCGGATTTTAAACGAATTCTAACATCCTCAAATGGTTTAACTTTAGCACTTTACAGACGCATAACAGATTTTCAAGATCCTCATAACATTCAAAATCTTCAAACCTTTCAAAATTAACAAAACTCTTAAAATTTTCAACTTTCACAATTTTCAGAATTTTTCGAAATTTTCAAAATATTAAAATTTTCAAAATCAACATACAGTAAAGGACAGAAGTATATAGACAAATATGAATATTTACAAAAATACCTTTAGAAAACGAATTTATACTTCATTGCTCCATAAACAAATGCGTTATTGGTAGAAAAACTACATTCCTTGTTTTAACATTATCTGCAATGAACACGATACAAGTCTGAGTATAAGCACTTTTTTATGAGGGACAAAAATATGTAAACAAATTCTTTTCAACATTAGTTTAGTACAGGTTCGTGTCAGAAGAGGATTAGTTTGTGTTCATCAAGTATTGTGGAATAAGTTGAGTGATTTTAAGACCATGCCGCGTGGTACAGAAATTTATTTCGATGTGAAAACTAAGGTCATTGAATTATACAAAGATAGTCAACGTCAAGTCGACATTGCCAAAAATTTTAAGCTGAAGCGTAAAGCAGTTTGTGCAATATTGAACAAATATAAACAAAAAGGTATCTTGGAAGCCTCTAAGAGAAGTGGTCAGCCTAGAAAACTAAATGCTAGCTTAATAAAAGTAATTTCGTCCAAAGATCTGTTTAAAACCTCAAGACAAATAAAAGCCGAAATTGAGACAAAAGGAATTGTCAGTATTTCTACAAAAACTATAAGTAGGAGATTAAAGAAGCCGCTAATCTCGTGGAAAAACCGTAAGAATTGTGTTACTGCAATAGAAAGTCCAAAAATCAAGTATGAAAAATTATTTTGGAACGAGATAAAATAAAATAAAATTATAGTAAAAAAGCGTGGGGTATGGGCTGCAATTAATTATATGTTCATAAAAATTCCAATTTACTAAATAGCAACTAAAAAAATTATTCCAACAATTATTATCTAGCACGCAACCCTTTCTTACTATAACTTTTTTGAGCTTCATGACAGAAGTATGGACAGCAATTGAACTTTCAAATAAAAAAATTATCCCTTCAACAATGCACAATTCAACTTTGACCCCCACCATTTACCTCTTTGACATGACCCCCATGCCGAGCCTCTCGAACTGATCCGCCTTCTTGGGGTCCTGCTTCCTCAATCTTTCCTCCTGTTTATGTTGTTGCTCGCTGATATCCTTGTAGGCTAGCTTCACGGCAGCTTCTTGGTCGCTGCGTTCCTGTGCCGAACGCGCTACGGATTTCAGCGATTCTTCGGCAGCGACCATTCGGCTCTCTTCGGCTAGTTCCGCTTCGCGCTCCAGTTCGGCAAAGTTCGCCTTCACTTTAGTGGCGCCCAGGCCGGATTTTTTCACGCCTCCCTGTTGAAAAAAATACACTGAAAACCGCATATGTTCCCTGTATAACACGGTCATTGATCGGGTTCCAATCCAATCCTAACGTTGAAGAAACGTGTTGGAATCGAAATGGATTATGCAGAGAAATAAAATAATTTTTCTACTTGAAAATCGGTCATTCATTGCCGGGCCGAGAACTTTTCACCTTTTATATATATGATGACAGATTTTTCGCGCTAGAGCTGTAAACTAACAAGAATGCTTGCTCAAAGTTAGTCTCATAGGTACATACCAAACCTTTCTTTGCAGGCTGCTTCCTTGCAGTAATATTTGATGTTTTTGGTGCTGATGCAGAATTTAGCTCTGAATTCAGGCAGTCTACCTTAGGTCCATCTTCCAAATTCATCATTTCCTTTTTAGTAATTTTTGGTGTAAAGTCCTATAAAAAATACAAGTCCCTATAGCATCTATCTCAAAAACTAAACAACAGTTAAATGATATGAAAGATATGCTCATGAATATTACTGTTGATCAGTCAACAACCGAGGATAAAAATCTTATTTTTGCCGCCAATTGATGACAAAAACGCGAGAGAATCATGGAGTTTAAGAAGTGATAACCTTATAAAAGTTATATTAGTAAAGATAAATATTATCATCACTATCATTATGTTCTTGCTAAATATATCACTTTAATGTTAAGGTGAAAAATCACATTTATATAATAAGATTTTTTTCCACTCCCATAAAAGTACACAGCTGTATTGAAATGGAGTCAGAATTTGTAACAAATGATATTGATGATATGGTATAATAATTTTTTCAGATATTGTTAGTTTTCCTAAATGCTCACCTCTTCAACTGGCACTTCTTTAGATGCAAGTTGCTCGTGTTCAGCAAAAATGTCCAATGTGGCATTATTTGCATTTGATTTGTCATGGTTTTCATGAGATGAAGTAATGTGAAGCTAAAAAAATTGTTATGCAGAAATATTGCAAGCCGTTATTATAATTCAAATCGTCACACAATCATCAGGTCAAAAGGTGCTCTATTCAAACTTACATGTGGATTGGATTTCACTGAAGCTATGGCAGCTTGATTCAATTTATCTTTGTACAACTGAGCAGCTCTTGAATTATATTTCTTCTGTACATCCGTTGTGGTACAATTGTGTTGACTGAAAAATTGCAACTGAAAAAATGGACAAAAACTTTCACAACACTGGCAACTGAATAAAAGAGTTTATTATTATTTATTAGTAACACTGCTTCTATAAGCCACAATTTATTACAAAAAATTAAGTGCAAGACTGGGTCAATTTTTGGACCATCTCCAAATTGTAGTTTGATTTAATATTAACCTTTATTCAACAACCAAGATGTTTATTTAGAAAAATGACAAATTGGCTATTCTCCTATGAACAAAAAACTTTAAATTCCATTTAAAATTTAAAGATACAGAGTTGGTTATTTCAAAAGTGCACCTATCCTGCATATCAGGAGTAATGCCACCAGATGTTGTAAATTAAGACTTCTGAATAAAAAACTAGTACCACCCAAGAAAGATTAAATCAAAAGTTACATATAATTTTTTCATGTTGAGAAAACAAACTTTGTGTGAAAAAGTGTAAGTGGAAATTCATGCTTCATAACATGACCCTAAATTCCCCACTAAACATAGATTTTTTTTTAATAACTTTCAGATGATACTGCACGATTTAGCTATTTTTTTAATAGTATTTTCAATCACTATAGTGGACATTTTTATCCTATTATTTAATACTTACTGCATTGCTATTTCCACCAAGTTGCATCTGCCTCAACTGTAGCCATGTCCAGTTAGTGTCCAACTGTGTAGACCTCACGAATGTCAAATGCACCCCTAAACTGCGATGGATGGCTGAGCAGTCTATACATATAAAAATGCCATAAGTGACGCTGGACCATGTTGGATTCTTGGCGTTACAGTCAAAACACACCTAGAAGAGAAATGAAGAGTTATTAAACAAACTGGAAAGTGGAACAGTTTTAGCCCCATTTTTGTTTCTAAATGTTCCAAGTCGGAAAGTGGTGTTTCTAGTAATGTGAGGACGTAAAGGTCGAGAACAAAGTAATAATAAGCTTATTACACATAAAAATTACTATAAAACATCAATTATCAGTTTTTTAATCTGTATTTCGTACCTTATTGCCAGGTATCGACCTCAAACTGTGGAATACGGATTCGATGTCCTCTTTGCTTGGCTGGCTTTCCATTTAGAGAATTTTATATTTTTTATGAAAAACGTAAGAAAATGTATTTGTATCTGCGATTTCCTTCTTTTGATGTGGATTTCACACGTATGTTTTCATGCCACACGTCACTCAGACATTTTCCACCTGTCAAAGTGTCACGTACTCTGACGTGGCCGTCAAGTGTCATTGCTAGAGATGAGAAAATATTCGATATTTTGGGATAATATAAAACCATAATAGAATAAACCTATGGAGCTGAGCAGCTGTAGAGCTGACAGTAGCAAGTCACTTAGATTCTCTCGACTCACTGCTATTCAAATAATCTGCGAGGCTATCACTTATTATTGATCCACCTCCACCTAATTTGCTTTTGTTCTGTGCAGTCGGTCGCTTGTCACTTGTCAACTGTCAAGTTTCATTTTTCTTTTTCCATCTGCCTTCAGAAAAGAGGGAATTGAATAATTAAATTTGATTTTCTTCTTCATGTAAGTATCTTAAGCGCAAAAGATCTATCATCTTATACACGAACTTTTTGCTCGTCATTTCATTCAGTAAGCTCGCACGCAGCTCTGTCCTGTATATTTTCGTGTCGCCACGCGTTTTCCTAACCTCAACCAATATTGCCTTTTCAGATTTGTAAAAAATGACGAACTCAAAGGGTTACCGTCGTGGTACGAGGGACCTTTTCGCCCGCAAATTCAAGAAAACATGGTGTTATTCCGTTGTCCACCTACATGAAAGTATACAAAGTGGGAGACATCGTGGACATCAAAGGCAATGGTGCTGTACAAAAAGGCATGCCCTACAAGGCTTATCACGGTAAAACCGGAAGGGTTTTCAACGTTACGGCACACGCTTTAGGTAAGTTCAGTATCTTGAGTTACTATGCCATTACTAGTAAATTCCAAGGATCTTGTAGATCAATTTTTATGTAGACACAAACGAATTCGGAGACAATTTAGTCCATCAGAGCCCTGATGGCAACAATACTAAATTTAGGTATTTTCAAAACATATTTTCACATTTGTGAACTGTACAGAAATTTGTTTTCTTTTAAGTTGGGTTTGTTGATTCCGATTCCAATATCAATTCGATGCCGGGAGTAACAGGTTGCCCCAGGGGAGCCAGAATTTTTTTTATAATATTTGTATTCAGCATCATAGATTACCCAGTTTTATTAAGTTTTGTCCACATGCAGCCACAAATAACAGACATGGGTTTCCAATAATTAGCCTACCAAACAAAGCTTTAAACCTGCACTAGTATAGACTTAGTCCCAAATACTCTTCATGATCTTTTAGGGAAAGCTTTGAACATTAATTTCACACCTTTTGAGCCTATAAATATTGTTTTTAATAATTGAAAATGCCTAATTTTTAGTCTTTCCCAGATATGATATTTTTATTTAGAAAGATCTGAATAACTTAAAAAAACTTTATCTAATGCAAAAACAATGATTTGTAATTTGACAAAAAAATGTTTAAATAAAGCACCATGTTAGGGAAACATCTTGATTCAAGTTAATGGGCATCTAACAAACATGATTATGAGAAAAGGAAAACTTTGCTAGTTGGATAAGCAATTTGTCTACATGATGAGTAAAATCTAATTTATGATCAATGCTTAGTCCCAAAAATTTGTTAGTGTCTGTTTTGTGTATCAATTATTATTTTAAATTTATAAAATCAAGGGAGCATTTAAAAATGTGATAAATTTGATCATATTAACATTGCATTTTTTGATTGATTGTATCACTATCAATTTTTTTAAGTTTATTTAATCATTGATAAGAGGACCTAATACTGACCCAAATTTTGAAAATTCTGAAATCATTTTTTCAAGTATGGTTTTGCAATGACTTTCTCAGTTAACAAATCATTTATTAGAAAACAGTTCTTGACTAAAGAAGAGAGAAGAGAAAATTTATCCCAATAACATTCCATATTATACTTGTCTTAGCATCCATTCTTTTTTGTTCCAGACTGATTTTTTATATTTTTCAATTGTTCTGAATAAAAAAGGTGCAAAGCACCCCGGTCTAAAGTAAACTGTTGAATGCTTAAAAACTCACAAGACAAGACTGCAAAGTTTACACACAAGCAATTTGTAATATTTTCTGGTAGGCTAACAAATGGTGAAGTGTTGATTTTTGCACATGGTACATGATAAACCAGATTCATTTTAATAACACCGGATGCAGTTTTATCAATCTAAAATACGAACTTGATATCGTTCCAGGCGTAATCGTAAACAAGAGAGTTCGCCACAGGATCATCCCCAAAAGGATCAACATCCGTATCGAGCACGTCAACCACTCCAAGTGCAGACAGGACTTCTTGCAGAGAGTGAAGTCGAACGAAAAGCTGCGTAAAGAAGCCAAGGAAAAGGGCACCAAAGTAGAGTTGAAGAGGCAGCCAGCTCAGCCGAGGCCTGCACATATTGTCAGCGGGAGGAATCCTGCTATACAACTTGCGCCTATTCCATATGAGTTCATTGCTTAGGTTAATAAAGGATAAATTTTGTTTTGGTTGTTTTTGTTTTCCTCTTTCATATACAGGGTGTTTCAGTTTATTGTTGCATAACGTTAAGATTCGATAGAACTTTTGAAATAATGCATAAAGTCTATATAAACATGGGTCGAAAAATGCGTGGCTTCCGAAATACAGGGTGTAAATTTACTTTCCAAAAAAGGTTTTTTTTAAATATTTCGAACAATATTTGATGTATAACTGTGAAAATTGGTATACAAGGGTTTTTTGGTACGACAAAACGAACCATGGGCATAGTTTTACTGTAGCCGCTAGAGGGCGCTCTCTACTGTACCTGTAGTGTATTAAAATGACCGAAAATTTTTCTTAGTGCAATTTTTTGCTTTTTGAATAAAACAACTGATTCTTCGCACTTTACAACATAAAAAAGCTCTCTTGTGAATTTTCGTTATAGTTAACCGTTTTTGAGATATTTCGATTTTTAAGGTTCGATGCACTTTTAATTATCTATGATAAAATAACGTTAAAAAGTCAGTATCTCGATAATTTTTAGAAGTAGCTGTGCCTGCAAATTTTTTAGAATTGAAAGCAGAATAAGGTAAAACGTCAATTAGTTGACATTTAGTTTTATTGTCTGTTGAAACCTGAAACGTTTTTTTTGCAATTGTGAATGCACGAAATTTAGTTTCTTTTCCTGTTTTTTTTTTCTAAGTTTTATAAAAATGCCATTTTTATTGTCCAATCAAGAGTTAGCGGATATTCATTTTGTGTTTGGCTTTGTAAATGGAAAACGCAGCAGAAGCAGCAAGAGAATACGCACGAAGATTTCCAAACAGACGACATCCAACTCGCTCAGAATTTGTAAGAGTGCATCGCCAAATAATTGAAAATGGTTTTGGAAATCTCCAAAGGGATCAAAACATAAATGTTCGTTAGCGCAGATTTACCCGTATGATTCTGCGTGAGTTTTGATAGAGATCCGACCACAAGTGTTAGGAGAGTTTCTGGTGCCATGGGAATTTCAGCAAGCCATGTTCACCGTGTTCTTAGAAATGACCATAGACGTCCCTTACCATTTGCAACCTGTGCAAGGACTACAGCCAGGAGACGGAGAACGAAGAATCACATTTGTCAGTGGATAATAATAGGAGTTTTAAGTAACGTTTTATGGACGATGAGTCATGCTTCACTAGACGTGGAGTGGTAAATTTTCATAATCAACACATTTGGTCGCATGAAAATCCGCATGCAGTTCGGGAAAGAAATTTTCAGCATGAATTTAGTGTGAACGTGTGGATTGGTATCTACCGTAATCGACTATTTGGACCCTACCTTTTGCCTGCAAGGTTAAATGCTGCGAACTTCTTGGAATTTTTAAAGGCTGAACATGCAAATATGTGGGATGATGTTATGTTAGATTTAAGAACACTGGCCTGGTTCCAGCTTGATGGTTGTCCAGCTCATTATTCGAGAATAGTTAGAAACTGGCTGGACGAAAATTATCCAGAAAGATGGATCGGCCGTGGAGGACCAGTCGCCTGGCCTCCACGATCCCCTGACCTAAATCCATTAGATTTCTTTGTGTGGGGATTTCTAAAAGAAAAAGTTTACCAGACTCCCCGTAACCACAAGAGATATGCTAATAGACAGAATCAGGAATGCATGTGGTGAAATAAGGCCTTATTTGAATAATGCTATACCACGTTCGATCATTCGTAGATGTGAATTGTGTATTGAACAATTGGGTTTACATTTCGAGCAACTACTTTAGATTTTGTATGTTTTTCCTAACTATCCAATAGCATTTTAGTTGTAAATAATTAATTTAATTTGTTAAAAATAATATTGGAAAATTAAACAAATTAATATTCTGTTTTTGTGTTTATTCGGATTTAGGAATTATTGCTGTGTTTAAAAACACAATCTAAACGATCATCTTAATTATGTAATGCCCAATCGAAAATGCAACAAAAATATTATTTTCCCATAATAATTAAAAATGCATCGAACCTTAAAAATCGAATATCTCAACAACGGCTCTAACTATAACGAAAACTCGCAGGAGAGCTTTTCATGTGAAAAGTGCGAAGAAATCAGTTTTTTTATTCAAAAAAGCAAAAAAATTGCACTAAAGAAAATTTTTCGGTCATTTTAAGACACTACAGGTACAAGTAGAGGAGCGCCCTCTAGCGGCTACAGTAAAAACTATGCCCATGGTTCGTCTTGTCGTACCAAAAAATCCTTGTATACCAGTTTTCACTGTTATACATCAAATATTGTTCGAAATATTTAAAAAAAACTATTTTAAACGTAAATTTAAACATCCTGTATTTCGGAAGGCACCCATTTTTAGACCCATGTTATATGACTTTATGCATTAATTTTAGTTATGCAACAATAAACTGAAACACCCTGTAGATAAAATCTAGAGTAATTTGTTACAGGATTATAGAAACGCAAGGTGTGTAGAAACATTCTCAGATTTTATCAAAAACAGCAAACCCTAATTTTTCGCTGTTCAAGTTTCCAAACTCCGAAAATTAGATCCATGATTCTCGAAATTTTCATTATCTTAACTTTCAAAGTTCTTAAATTTTTCACTTTTTCAGTTTTCCATAGATTTTAAAGAATATCAAGCTTTCATGATTGTCACGATTTTCAAAATTTGTTTTTGAAAGTTTTTAAACTTGAAATTTGAAAACACAGTTTTTACCAATTCTGAGACTACTGACTTTGGAAGTGGGAAACTTGAAAATTTAAAAATTCTGATATTGCTCGATTTCTAACTTCAAGTATGGCTTTGCGATGTCTTTCTCAGTTTCCATATACACAAAAAATTTTGATTCCAAAAATGTTTAGCTTTCAGAATTCTCAACATGTTGCATGTTTGTTTTCGAATTTGTCAATATTACAAAATCTTTCGAAATTTGGAGATTCAAAATGTTTTGAAATTTTCAGGTGTCAGAAACGCGAAACCCTAATTTTGGATTTCTAAAATTTCAGAGTATGCTTAGTTTATGATTTTCATCGATTTTCAAAACTTCCATGATTTCATTATTTTCAAGATTTTAAAATTTTAAACATTTGCTGATGTGGTGAAATGAAAAAGTCCGAAAACTCCGAAACCGCTTCATTTTTTAGTTCAGGTATGACAGTGACGCCTTTGTCAGTTCCACACACATCAAAATGGTTAGTTTTCAAAAAATTTTGAAGCTTTCGGCATTCTTAACATTTTCATTAGCCTCAAAAAGTTTTCGGATTTGTTATTATTCCAAATTTTCGAAATTGGAAAACATCCAATTTTTTTAAAATTTCAGATTTTCAGCTGTCAAAAAAGCAAAACCCTGAGTTTCATTGTTTCTTTCATAAATTTTCGACGTTCTCATTCGTTCATGATTTTCGGAATTTCATATAAATAGAATTTTCACTTTTCAAAGTCCTTAAATCTTCCATTGTTTAAGTTTTCGACATTTAATGATTTTCAAGCATTTAAAAACCTCATGATTGACACGATTTTCAAGAGTTTCAAAAAATTTTTGATTGATTTTTAATCTCGAAATTCTGAAAACTGAAAGTTTTGAAAATTTAGAGAATTGTGAACTTTGAAAATTCTGTAAGTTGATTTAATTCTTACTTCAAGAATGGGTTTGCAACGCCATCTCAGTTAACGAACCTTTTATTAGAACGGATCGATAGATGCGGCTAACTGGTGCTTCTCTCAAAAAATTCTCGTCAAAAACGCTCATTTTTTTTACTGATTGCTAGTGAACAGGATAGGAGTAAAGAACACAAAACTACGTTTTTGTGAGAATTTATTCCAATAACATTCCATATACTCGTGTCTTTACGTCCAAGGGTGATCAAGAATATAACAGATCTTTAATTTCTCCCTTTGATACATAATTTCCTAAATATTATCAATTCAAATTATGAACTACATTTTTATTCGTTTGTAATTTTAGCATCTATGTTTTGCAAAATTCTGCATGGGGGAGTATTTTTTCACCAAAATATATCTTTTTTTTTTGTAAAAATTGCATAAAATCATAATAACCTAAAACAGGAACATTACTTCAAAATACAGTTACAGGAATCCTTTAAACTATTCAGTCAGTTGACTTTTTTTATTTAGGGAGCATCCTCTCCAAAACCAACTGCCAAATTAAAGTAAATCTACGATGTCTCTGTGACTTCCTGTGGACTTCGACACAAAATGGTTGTTGTACTGATGATGGTGATCAATAGAAATATTCCCAAAAGCACTCGATCGAGTACTATCGAGGTCTGTTTCCATTCCAGTTCTATCTGCTCTCTTCTTTCGTGTTCTGTCAAACGTATGTCGTTTTTTTCTAAGCTGTGGTGCAGTTTGTTCAAAATGCGGACTATCTGACTTTCAAATGCGTCTGAAACAGTAATAAGCGTTTAAAACGTCAGTTTGGTTTCATGGAAAGTATTGGAGTTTTTATGCGGATCCCTGCTAATTTGAAATCAATTTATTTACGGAATGGTGCATGCGCTTATCAAGGCTTACGATGGACTTTTTGGAAAATGGTGAATTCGTACCAATTTTTGGTCCTGCTATCTATGGCTGATAAAGACCGAAGCGAACTTTTTTGAAAAATGGTGAATGCGCAAATAGTGGCGGATAGGTCCACCAACTTTGGTGATTTTTTAGAAAAATGGTGAGCTCGAGCTATTTTCTAAGTAATGGAGGATAAGTCTACCAAAATAGATTTTTTTTAGTGGTGAATTTGCACTAACTTGCTACCGTTCTGTTTCTTATGGAATTGTAGAAGGGCTCATTAAGATTTAAGCGAACTTTTTGAAAAATAGATAATTTGTGTCAGTTTTTTTCCGCTATTTTTGTAAGTAATGCCTTACCAAAATTGAAGGCGTTTCGACAAAAATGGTGAATTCGCGCTTGCATGCGATCTAACTATTTCTAATGGAATAGCTATGGGCTCATTAAGATCTAACCAAAACTTTTCGAAAAAAAAAGGTGAATACGCTACGTAATGCTGGATAGGTTCACCAAAAGTCGATTTTTTC